TAAATTTAAATTATGTTGTTTTATTTAATTAAAATTTAATTTAAAATTTAAAAATTTATCTTAATAAATATCAACCTTTAAATTTTAAAATTAATTATATTAAAATATATAATCAAATTTTAAATTTATATATCAACATTTAAATGAGAGGATAATTTTTTATTTATCATTTGGATGAACATTCTTTGAAAAATAAAAAAAGTCCGCCGTACTATACTTTTCTTCGCCTCTCCTAGGTTTAGACTTTACTCCATTTAGAAAGTGATTGAAATTGAACCACAACATATAGTTGCCTTCTATGGCTTTTTGGTAAAAATACACCTCCCGTGACGATGATCGTCCAATGAAATTTGTACACGCTGGCATCCGTTTTAACACGTGGACGTCCAGTGACGAGTAAGTTCAATGAGACTTCGACACGTCGAAAGCCAGCCACTTATGAAGCGAGTACCAATTTCTTGACGTACTCGAGAGCGAGTGAAGTGGCGAAGTCACGTGCGAGTGCGCGTTGGTGGCGTTTTCCCTCGACCCTGAAGATCACAGAGTGTATATTTATTAACCCAATAACCCCCCGAAATTCTCAGTGAATAAAGCAGAAAGCAGAAAGCAGAAAGCAGAGCGAAGCGAGCTTGACACCTGACAATGGCAACTAGGGTTCCGGTTTGGTTTTCTCTTTTGGTGGTTTGGATTGCAGTTGCTTGCTCCGTTACTGAGATCTCGGCGGAGGAGACGGAATCGAAGCAGGAATTTGTTTTGACATTGGATCACTCTAACTTCTCCGAAACTCTTAGCAAGCACAAGTTCATCGTCGTCGAGTTCTACGCTCCTTGGTATATTTTCCGTTCTTAATTCCGTTCTCCTTTTCGTTCTGAGTTCCGTTTTGTTGTTTATTTTGCTTGATTGTGGTTGTTTTTTGTTATGTATTCTTGGATCTCGCTTATGTTTGTTCTCGTTGTCTTTTAAATCATAAATGAATTTTTTGTGTTTGAATTCGAAGATATGTGAGATTTGTAGCTGAAAGGAGTCGATCTTTCGGTATTAGTGCGTCATTCTTGTTGTTGATATTGTCTTTAGATGTCAAATGATGACTTTAAGCATTTCGTTGAATTCTGAATCCTGAAGTTTCCCTTTTTGCTCTGTAATGGAGTTGGTCCTTTTTTTTTTTTTTCAAGATATAATATATAGGGGGTCTTTTGGGTATTGGCTGGCATTCTGCTTGTTGATCGCTTAGAAAGCATTTTTCCTTTTTTTTTTTTTTTT